TTTATTACAAGGTTCCTCCAAGTTTTCAAATTGTTATAATAGCAATTTAAAAACACTGAAAATTCTTATGCATGCCTTTTTTTTGTGGATAGGCATTTTTAATTTTAAATAGTTTTGTTATTGTTTTAAAAATTTCAATAAATGTTTTTTTCGCTTGGTCAAAAACATTAAAAACCTAATATAAAGTTCTTCATAAGTTTTTATTATAGCAATTTGAAAATATTAAAGATATACAGACACAGTTAGGTATAAGCATTTAGCTACATTTGTAAAAGATTCGATTTATATAAGTAATATCTCAAGAACATATTATACAAGGTTAATCCTTAGTAGTTCATATTGAAACTAAACAACCTAAGTTATATATAAGCACAATATATTTTATAGACATTTTAAGTTCTAATTTGGACAAAATTAGATATTTTAATAAAGAATAGCAATTTTGGTCTTTGTTGTTATTTAAAAATATCATTCGTGGAGATTTTAAAGAATATTATTATAGTTTGTATACTCATATACATTTTTAAATGCAATTAAATGTCATGTCATTGAGTAAATAAAAAATAATAATATACGTTAAAATGTATTAGTAGGTACCTATGGATAATATTTTTAAATAACAATAAAATAATTAAAATCATTATTCATCGTTTAAAAAACTAATTTTGATGTCTCTGAAGTTGGTCTATTTTCGTAAAAATTAAAATATCTGTGTTTATATATTTATTAGATTTTTTGGTTACAGTATAAACTACCTACTAATGGGAAACTTTGTTTTAGATTAGAACTTGGAGAAATATTTGCTATAGATATTTTGTCAATAAAAATAAAGAAGGTAGACAAGTGGGTACCACTGTTAGCAGTTGTTTAGCATGTCGTTATAATGGATGTATTATTCTGATCGGAGCCGTTTCATTTCAACACATTTGTATTGATAATACAATCGAATAAAAATTCATAGTAATTGAAAATATGTCATGGCTAAAAATAGMGTAACATTCAGGTGAACTTTTTTTTTATTTGATAGTAGTAGAAAACCTTCTAAAAATTTACATTTCTGAAAACAAATTTTTTTTAATTTTTAACTGAAAAATAAATTATAAAATTGGAAAAAATTCTTATGGCTTTAAATAGCACAAAAACATTCAAAATATTTAGAAAATTCTATCATGTATAAAAATATAAATATAAATATTTTGTTAAGATTTCACTTGTTTACGGTTATTCAT